AGTAAGCTCTCAATAATTACTGCTTAGTTATCTAACTTTATGAACTAATTGCAATCACTACAGTTTTCTATAATCTACTCAAGAGATGGAATCAAAATAGGTGTACAGTATATTCCGTCAGGTAACTGAAATTTGAGAAAACGTCCGTATGGGACAACATCTGTATTCCGAATCAAAAGAGGCCATTTGACGTAGTGGTGTAACGATTCATCGATAGTATCGATGTTTGCATAGTCAACTATGCGATACGAATGCATCAATACAAAACACATTTAGGCAATACATCAGGATATTAATATCGCAAGGGCTGTGATACATCGATGTATCGCCACAAGAGACGATATATCCCGATACAACTTAAGTACTACTGAAAGTTGTAAGGAGTATTGCATTAGGAAAAGGAAGGGAGTCTCTTTGAAATTCTTCTGAAGTGAACCTTGTACTGTGAGACGAACTTAAGAATAATGCCGACCTGTCATTGAACCCGTGCATCTGAATAGCGGTGCAGTCCATTTTACCATTAAGGTGCCCAGGGTATGTAAAGCGATAAACTGTCAGTGTTGGCATTGTCTTGGTTACTGTGTAACAGTGTTGAATGTACTGGCGAATTGCGCGGGAACGCATTTACCAGGCAAGTAGCAAGCCAATTTTTGTCGTGTAAGCCCGATAGGCTGCAAAGCTGTATATTTAGTTAGTGTTGAGGCCTTGCCCAACTTTCATTTTCAAAATCATGTCTAAGCCCGGGGCTTTTTTCAAGGTGATAATTTCAAAAACCCAAATCACTTTATTAGGCATTGGGCTAAAAATGGAATTTTAACAATTAAGGACCTTTGTAATGAAGATATTTTAAGTCTTTTGAAGATCTGAAACTCAAATTTGATATTGGAGGAACATATATGTTTTTTGTAATGTTGATAGTGAAACTTTATGTCATGTATATTGGGAATGTGTTGTAACTCAAACCTTCTGGAAAGAACTTGAAAACTGGATAATCCAAAACAAACAGAAATTTGAAATAAGAAAGACTTTGGTTTGGTTTGGTTTTTGGTAATAAGCCATTGCTAAATCATATAATCTTTTATGCTAAAAGTCATATATATATACTTGCACTTTAAAGAATAGAATTCCAAAAGTTAATAATGTCTTAAATTTTTTTAAAGACACTTACACGGTTGAAAAATTCATATCCAGAAGAAACAATAATTTTGATAATTTTCAGAGAAATGGTTTCCTTTATCCTCAGTTTTCAATCTCTGACTTAATCTGTAATCAAACTTGAATAACTTTATTGCATTGTAATTTCTTCATGCTACCAGTTGATGAACTTTGATCATGCATATGTACACTTTTTGCTTTACTTTATATGCTTGTATTCAATTATTGGAACAAATGAAAACAAATCACAAAGAGTTTAAGGTAGCTGGTCACGTGATCATTATCGTATTATAGTTTCAGAACATCACACCGATTACAAATGAGATATTCTTCAAGATCATTAAGGTTAACAGATGTGTTTGTTCAAACATGCCATAGAAAGTCAAGTCAGTGTATATAAGTGGGTTTTTTTCCAACACGTGGGCGGACATACATACATACCATTGCAACCGCTTCACAATATATTATATGCACAAATTTTCTACATACACAATGAATTTTAGCAGAGTGGGTCTTTTATGTTTCCGTAGTTCCACCAGAAGACATTTTGGATAATAAATATCACACTTTTGATATAATCATACACAATTAAGTGTTTTGCCACATATTCTTACAAACTTAGCTGCAAATACTTGCAATACTGCTGACTCACCTTTAAGCAATATTTACGCGTTCACTCACTAAGTCTTTTGTCACTCCAGATGTTTTGTATGCATGCGTTGGTTATGTACAGCAAAGTATACCATGTATACAGCTTAGTATTTCTAAGTAACCCGGCTTCGTCACACTTTGGTGTGAAAGGTGTCAGTTGAGTTTACACAGGACCCTTTGTGTGCCCTGTTGATACCATTTACACTCATATGGTCCTGCTTGCAGGTGGAATATAGCCGGTATGTCACTGCATTCACCATACATTACGGATTTCCATATTGCATTAATACCTACACTGAGCACTTATCATCTTAACTTGACAACGACTGGTAAACATCTTTTGTCTTCAATGAATAACCTGTAAACACCATTCGACAGCTTAACTACTGCACCTGTGACAAACAAATGTACTATGTGAACACCGAGAGGAGAGAGCAAGGTTCACATTCGTCATGTGGAGGCACCTTTAGGACAATTGTGCGTGTAGCTATGAGAAGAAGTACCGCAACCTTGAATATGACTTAGTTCTTTGTCCAGAAAATGTATACCAGTTCAGGTATAAAAAGAGGGGTATGGTCTTACAACAGCACGTAGCTCTCTTGATTCCAGCAGCGAGATTCTGACTTGGTTCCTGTTAAACCCGACAAAGCCATAACATACCATTACATTGATTAACAGTTCACAGAGGTGTCATAGCTCAGCACAGTTATCATTGAGGTACACAGACCAAAATAATGTTCAACACGACCCCTATTAAACTACGTCACTGTTAAGTATCATGTGCACACATCACACCTTGACAATGTTTTTCTCAAACTAATACATCGAAGTGTTCAAACTAATACATCGAAGTGTTCAAACTAATACATCCAAGTGTCCAAACTAATACATCCAAGTGTTCAAACTAATACATCGAAGAGTAAAGAAAGGAAAGAAAAAGAAAGAAAGAAAGATTTATTTTTTTTCGTGTAAGCCCGGTAGGTTGCAAAGCTTTATATTTAGTTAGTGTTGAAAGCTTGCCCAACTTTTCAAAATCATGTGTGAGCCCGGGCTTTTTCTCATAATCGTAGCTACGCCCCTGTTTACCTTCGTCCTTTATTTTGCGCAAGGTACTGACAGATATACCAGTAGCATCGCTGGCTTTTTAGAGTGCACTGTGTGTGCTGTCGGAAATAGTACACATGTACTGAATGACATTGTAGGCAACCTCACGTGTTTGTGAATGAATGACTTGACCCCGTTTACCCAATTTAGAGTGCGACATGATAAGTTTCAAATACCTGCAGAGTTTGATACTCTTTTAACAGTCCACTTTACAAGATACTAGTATACACATGCTCGACCAGAAACACGACATTTGCGAATCATTGCGCAAAAGGGATTACTGCAAGGATCACAAAAATCACGTGCCCGAAGTTTTCGCACCTGTTCCCCCTTCGAGTGGGTATTGGATCAGTTCACGACACGCTCCCCCTCTCCTTTAACAAACGCGTCTTTCGCGCACCTCATTCTAATGTTGGTTGGACAGTAGGGATATTTGTTTGTATCTGTTACATGAACAAAGGAGTTGGTGTAGAAGTGAAAGAGTGTGAACATGTTTCAAACTCTGTGAACTGTACAATACTTGTCTTCAAGCAATTAAAATATGTTTTAGTTGTTTGACACATAACACCATTTATTCACAACTATAAATGATGTCTTAGCTTTGTTAAGAAAGAGAACAAAGATAAGATACAATTTAGACAGTAGACTTAAGAGTTTGTTCAGTGATTCTGAATTCTGATATAAATTACATTGAATTGTTTGTGAACGAATTGGTGTGGAAACACAACTTCCCAAAGGAAACCTAAGTTTCAAATGTATTTTAAGGTGTGCTGAACATGTTTGACTGTACCTTCTTCAACATGAAATGCTGAAATTTTATGAGATCAGCAGCTCTTTAAGTGTGTGTGTGTGTGAAAGTAACACAGGTTTTAATGAATTTATAACTATTCGTAGTCACGATATGGCTGAAATACTGCCACTGTGACTGTAAACTTTAACTCACTCACTCACTCATGATATATCGTCTCGCCTCATTAAACTGGTATCAGGATATATAGTCTCTCCACTTAGACTACGAAGCACAGCTCTAATACCAAGTATGTGCATATTTACACATTTACAACAGTACTTCACATCAGTAATACATTGTAATTATCTTTTTCGAAAGTACAGATAATGAAATTTGTGCAGCTATGTGAACACACCTGTCTGTGTTTTATTGCAATAAGCTGTCTCTCCTTGTATGTCATATATAAGAAGTGTACCTAAGGTCAATTATTTAAACTATAATGTAATTTAAGTATAAACGGTATTACCTACTGATCAGAAAGGCTTATCAGTACTCCACCGCCACCATCCCACCCTAGGCCTACCCCACCCTACACCCTCTCCCTCACACACATGCACACACACACTCCCTAACATGCATATCGCTCCGGCCCATAGACCCAATATTGTAACCTTTTAAACAGACATCATGTGTATGTCAAGAAAGGCAGGCACGTTAATAGTGGTGCTCAGTCATGGGTATCACTTCGCCATGTGTTTCTAATGATCTCCGCGCGTTATGGCGTGGTCCGACGCGCTAACGAACCCGATGTGACAGTTACATTACAAAACCATTGAAATACATGTTAAAGTAGTGTTAATCTTGTAACACTATATTTACCCATTACCAACCATTTACGCGTGTACTAAATATATGACAAACCTAACCCTGGTCATACGAGATTTCAAAGGTATTGAAATGCATGTCCTACAATGACAGCATTTACATACGTTACACATGCTAGAAAACACATGAAAATAATGGCCAGATTTACACACCAAGTAAATACAGACTTGAGTGTTCATTTATTTTAACACCCCTTTAAACGTGTGTAATCTGACAGCCAGATGATACGTAGAAGATCAAACGTTGTTCATATGGCCGCCGGATGAAACGTATATTCCCTAATGTTAGTAAATTTGGGTAACACAGTAATTGTGTGTGGTGTATGGCTCTCTGTAAACTGGATCAATGCCAGGTGGGCGTCACTGTGAGGGTCACGAGCTATTAGTCACTCAATGCGAGTAGAACGGTGACTGGTAGATACGTGCCCCTTTAGGAAAGTTCCACATGATGCCACGTAGCTCATGCATTGACTTACGTCATGGGTATTACAACCATATAAAAGCCGAGCGCTTCACAACACACGCAGAAGAGAAGTTGTACACATAAGACTGTTCGGGTAAGTCATTCATTCCTTTCCAGTCAGTTTCTTATCAAAACGGCCTTCTAGTTTTATTAGTTATTTTACAGGGCATTCGAAAAATTTCCGTCAAACCCACTTTATAGCGATGGAAGATACTGGACATATCGGCGACAATCGCATCATCAAATGTGATAAAATGACGATTTTATCGATATTTAATTAATGTGGTCGTTCAGTTCCATGTCTTGCATTGTGTGCACAATTTCGTGAAAATAGCGACCAAATATCAACGCACATGTTAGTGTTGGAATAGTTGGTGTGTTTGTGCGTGCGTGCGTGCTAGGGTGAAACGGTACAATCTTACCACGGACGCTACATATTGCGGTACAAGGCCTTCGGTACGGTCCGTTTCGGTACGGCCCGTTTTGGTACGGTCCGTTTCGGTATATGTGATATGATCATAATGCAGAAAATTGACATGAGTTAAACTTTGCATTCTTTAATACCATGGGAAAAATACAATAATATTTGTTAGTTTGAACGAACAAAACTGTCATTTCATGACTAGATAGAAGAACTAAAGTCTCACTGGAACCTAGGAGGCCACAGTTGTGTAGCAGACTAGCAAGTAGCCAAGTATGATTTAAGTCACTATCATCAGTAGTATATAGTGTTCCGCTAAAACCACAGTTTTTGAATGTCCACCTTATTGTATTCATATCACGTAGCAATCACACGACTCCCACGACTATCTTTATTAAACTACTTAAGAGATTATTTGTACTCATATCAAGTAGAATCTCCCGCGATTATGTTTATAAATCTACTTAAGAGGTTTAAATAGAGCTTATGTAAACGTTCAAATATTTTGAAGGTAATTATACTTGTGTGGCGTATTTGGTAACTTGCGTGACGTTGACAATCAGTTAAGTAAAAAAAAACAAACAACTTCAATCTTTCAATAATCATGAATTTCAACAATGTGGTTATAGATGAAATTGAAAGTTCTGAAATATGTCATATCCTTGAAGAATTGTTGGTTCATGCTTATGTTATGACTGTTACAGAAACTATTATTAACAAACAAAAGTGTTCAGAAGAAATCATCAAACATAGTCTGAACTGTGTAGATGAAACAGATGTTATTCATCGATGGCGGAAATATGTGACATCTTTATCGTGTGTGTCTAGAATACCATCCATTTACCTTCTTAAATATCAGTGTCTGGATTATAGAAACACAGCTTTGAAAACAGAGTCGTTGACTGAGGAAGTATGTCGTTCTGTGAGGGAAATACTGACACGATAAAAACATGTCAGTGAGCGGTGCAGAGCAGGAAAAGATTCTGCAATCAAAATATTACAATCCAAAGGAACCTGGAGCTTTCGGTGGATTGGATAAGTTGTACTCTAACGTTAAACACTTCGGAATATCCAGAGCAAAGACTAAACGTTGGTTACAATCCCAAGATGTGTATACTTTACACAGACCAGTGAGAAGACGGTTCCCAAGAAACAGAGTCATAACAAGTGGCTTATTTGCTCAGTTTGATGTTGATTTGTGTGATGTTACTAACATTGCAAAATATAATAACAATGTAACCTTTTTATTAGTGGTTATTGATTGCTTTTCCAGATATGTTTGGGTTCGCCCACTATCAAACAAAAATAGTAAAACCGTTCATCATGCTTTGAAAAGTATACTGGATTCAGTTGAAAAGAAACCTATGGCTATACGTTCAGACAAAGGACATGAATTTAATAACCATCTCATGAAAAAATATCTAAAACAACATGTAAAATATTTTACCACACAAAATTCAGGTGTAAAAGCTAACTATGCTGAAAGATTCATACGGACATTGCGAAATATGATGTTTAGATATTTCTCTTACAAAAGATCTTACAGATATATTGATATTCTTGAAGATCTCCTTTCCAATTACAATAAAAGGCCAAACAGGTCTCTTTTTGGGTTGTCAGCTTCTAAAGTGACTAAACAAAATCAAGCAGCACTGTGGTTACAGATATATTCCAACACGGAAAACATAGTGCACAATCAAAACTCTAGGTTATACAAATTTAAGATTGGAGACCTTGTTAGAGTGTCATTGTCAAAAAGAACTTTTGAAAAGGAGTATCAACAAAAGTGGTCAGAAGAAGTATTTAAGGTTGTTGACAGAACTCGGAAAGCTGGAATTCCTGTGTATAGGATTGAAGATTTGCTCTCTGAATAAATCAATGGTTCTTTTTACAATGAAGAATTGCAACGAGTGAAGAAAGATGACAATCTTTGGCATATTGATCATGTCATAAAAACTCGTTGGAAAGGAAGAGGAAGAAATACAATAAAACAGTCTTTAGTTAAGTGGAGTGGATTCCCGTCGAAGTTCAATTCATGGATAGATGCAAGTGAGATTGTTGAAGATGAGAGAACAGAGGCTGATTATAAATAGTGACAGCAATGATAATCTTTTCTCTGATAATAAACCATATGATTTCATTGCTTACTTTAGACATCCCATTGTCATGGAAGGTTATTGGAGCATAGCATTAACAGAATTTTATGCTAAAAGATCTGCACAAGGGACAAACAGAAAGAAGAAAGGTACCACTATAACAGATAATTTATTATATATCCACTGTTCAATTTGTGAACCTATTCTTGTTGATGGTGAACCCAAACCACTACTTCGAAGAATATATCCTAATAAACCTAATACATGGAATGCTGAATTGCAGGATTATCAATATATCAAATGTCGTTCAATCAATACAACTACACATGAGATAAGAATATATATAACTAATCATAAAGGAGAACCAGCAGCATTCTTTAAGGAGAGAGTGTCAATGTCACTTCACCTCAAACGTTACCCTTTCCTGGTATAATTTACAATGTCAGTGTTACAGAGTTCTACAGAGATTGGACAATCCTTGTATGTTCCAAATGCCAACCTTTGGGTGAAACATTATTCTAACGTTGCCAAAGGAGAACATATTCCCTCAAAACAGTTGATTTCAACTATGAACACTTCAAATGGAATTACATCAAGCAATCGAAAGGAGACCACGCCCCCTTCTGTTGAAAATAACAAGATGCAACAGTCAGATATAAAAATGGTGAGCCCTAGTGAACAGGCAGTACAACAAGCTAAAGCTGAAATAGTACGCAATCCCGATTCAGTTTCCCACACTGCCATGGTTAAAACTAAAAAAAAAAGCAAAAAGGTGGTAGTATACCAAGAACCATTGGTAAGAGAAGAAGTGGGACGCAACCTAAGAACAAACTAAAGAAGAAAGAGAAAGCAGGAAGGGAAATAGCCAAGAGAAAACGGATTGGTGGGAAAAGAGGAAGATCATTATTACCAGATATCTTCAGTTCTTAAATCATCATCTTCAGAACATTTCAAGAAGAACATTAACATGGCAATGTTATCGAGTGATTCAAAATTCTTCAGTGAAATTCAACCATCAGAACTGGATCTTTTTACCCTTCCCCCAACACAAACCGCTGTACAAAGATCATATATACAAGAATACAGATCAATATCACCTCTGACGGAATCATCACCAATTGAATTTCATATAAGTGGTCAAAATGCATTGGAATACATGTATTTAGATCTAAGAAGATCTAGTTTGTATATTAAATGCAAAATCCTTAAGTCTGATGGAACATCCTTAGATCGTAGCCATGAATGTGCACCCGTTAACCTGTTTCTTCACAGCTTGTTTTCACAAGTTGATGTATGGATACAAGGACGTTTGATTAATTCTACAAGTAATCACTACCCATACAGAGCCATGTTTTACGTGATGATGAACAGCAGTAGGGATACATCAGAAAGCACATTAACGTCACAGATGTACTATAAAGACACTCGGGAAGCAATGGATGACCCTGATCCGAATGGAGCAAACGAAGGACTTTATCAGCGATGGGAGTTCACACAGGGAAGCAAAACATTTGACATGGAGGGTCCCATTTACCATGATCTCTTTCGAATGAAACGTTATCTTCTAAACCAGGTTGATGTTCAAGTGAAGTTATACAGAAGCTCGACAAGTTTTTGTCTTATGTCAAAATACAACACAGAAAATTATATGATTCGATTAGAAGACGCAGTTTTGAAAGTAATGAAAGTTTCCGTAAATCCAGGTGTAATTTGGGGTCATAATGAAGCTCTTGGTCTTACTAACTGTAAGTATATGTATTGCAAAACAGAAATAAAAATGATGTCTATCCCCCAAGGTCAGGTTGGCTTTTCATGGGACCAAATATTTTCGCGGACACGCCCAAGTAAAGTTATTATTGCATTTGTTTATTCAAAAGCAGTTGCTGGGGATTTGCACAAAAATCCTTTCTCGTTTGCAAATTTTGATTTGAGACAGATCACTTTATTCTGTGATGGAGTAGCCGTTGGAGATTCGGGACCGATGAAGTTAACATACAACCAAACCTCAGGTCAAACTGTCATACCCTTGTTTGTTAATATGTTACGTGCATCAGGGGCCTAGGATAGTGAACATAACATTAATTTGAATGTAACTCGTGATGAACTTTCTGGTGAATATGCATTGTACACTTTTCAGTTGGAACCATTGTTCAGTTGTCATCATGAAACTTCATATCTTACATTGCAAAAACAAGGTTACCTGAGATTAGAAGCTCAGTTCGGAACAGCTTTAACAGAGACAACAAACTGTATAGTTTATGGAGAATTTCCTGGATATTTTGAGATCGATAAAGCTAGAAGTGTTATAGTTTAGGACTAATTGACTGTGCTCCCAATATGTCAGTGGAGCGATAGCAGCAACATCACCATTAACAGAATCAACGACTGCATCAACATGAATACGGACCAAATGAATTGTGTTATACAGTGTGATCATATTCTTCGACAATATGTTGTAGGAGTGTTTGCATCGGATCAATTGTTGAGGTATTTTGCTAAGTAAAATCAGAGATCATCATGGCAGAAAGAAGCATACATCGTAAATACTGACCCCATTTCAAAACCTGGAAATCATTGGTTAGCTATTTATCATGAAAACAGTAGGAATATGGAAGTATTTGATAGTCTCGGAATGTTATCAACTAGTTATTCTCAAAAGAATATTTACTCTTTCTTGTTGAACATAAAACACAGAGATTATAGAATCAGATTTAACGAGTATCAATTACAAAGTTTTCATTCCAATGTGTGTGCTCAATATGTATTATTTTACTTAATGTTTCGTCTAAGAGGATATTCAATGGATGAAATTATTAATCGATTCGACAAAGAGGATAAAAATGTACATGATGTATATGTTTTTGATTATATATTGAAAAGATATCCAGAATGTCTCAGTTCTTCTCGTGAGCTATACTGTGCATATCCTGTCTAACTTGATACTATATCATTAAGGTTTGATTCTCAATTCTGATTGTATAATGTCGAATGATATATCACCTGTTTTGTTAATTCCAAGTCCAAGTACTATTTACATAGCAGGATGTTCACAATCAGGTAAATCTATGTTTACTAAAAGATTAATTGAGAATGCCAATTCTATGTTTACAAAACCATTTCAGAAAGTTCTGTATGCATATTCTGTCTGGCAACCTTTGTATGAAAAAATTGAGAGAAATAATAATTCTCGAGAGTTGTTTGTAGAATTCCATAAAGGAATACCTTCTGAAGAAAAACTAATTGAACTTTCGGGAAATCAAAATGATCATAGTTTGTTGGTTATTGATGATTTGATTGATGATGTCGTATCTAATCAACATA